GCGGTGAGTCCGGGGGTGTCTTCTGGGTTTTTTTTCTTAAAAAGTGGGAGCTGGCCCATGTGGGGCACATGTGAGGGAGCTGGGGGAGTGGGGAGGGAGGGTTCAGGGGCTGTTGTAGAGCTCCCACACAGCATGGGGCAGTGGGGGGCAGAGGGGATTCCCCCCCGCCCGGCAGCATCCGCTGAGCCAGGGCTTTTTTTCCCCCAAGAGCCGGGAGCTGGGGCAGGCGGGGCAGCCATTGCTGAGCTGGGAGATGGGCTTGGCCTGGCTGATTCAGAGATTGTGCTGCTGCCGAATCTCCGAATCAGATCTGGCCAAATCGAATCAGGACAGTGATTCAAATCATCAAATCGAATCACTGTCCCCCGAATTAGGTGAATCCAAATCTGAAGCAAATACTAGCTGCTTCACACAGGCCTAATATTTAGACATCTATATACATTGAAAAATATGGTCCCTAATACTTAGCAGGTTTCTATGAGAAGCAAAGCTGGTTGGGGAGTGGAATTTCCATTCCAAAGGAAGTGCTAAAACAATATTATTGAAAACAAGCACTTCAATGCTATTGTAACAAAACATTTTTAAATCTTTCTGATTGAAAATCTTTGTCAAAATCAACAAATTTCCATATAATGTTTTCACTGCCTTTTTAACAGAAAATGGTTTCATCAAAAAAAAAATTCTGGCAGCTCTACTAGATGACTTACCGTCCAGGTAGAGTATAGTTACATTAGCTGAAATACACAGGCAACAAAACAATAAAACATTCCTGGACTCTATTTATTGCAGGTTCCAAATCTGTCATATAATAGAGTGAGTAAAATGTACATAAGTGGAAGAGATAGCAAACATCTACACTATTCCTGTACAGGGGCTGATGGTACATTTTGTCACTGGTTTTCACTTAAAAATATGGGTCACTGAAGACATACCTTTTTATTTTGCTTTTGCAATGATTTTGACAAATTCTGCCCTACTTTGATGCCAGTAATAGAAGTGCCACTTCATGAAGCTTGTTGGCTATTGCTGCAAGCAAATTAGTTGTTGGACATGGCAGTGCATGCAACTTGAAGAGCATTAAATCAGGGGTTAAGCTGTTGTGCTCTTTAATAGCTGAAGGGAATCATTTGAATTTCTTACTTGTCCTTGTTTTGCTTCAAGTAATGTGAATCTAAGAATAAAACGATAAGTAAAATATATCAATTCAATATAAGATAAATATTGGTTGGAACTTGGTAAGTGAAAATCTCTTGTGGTGATAAATGGCTCTGTTTTTAATAAAAGTGTGTCAACCAGAAATATACACAAATTTAAACTCTTACTCTCAAAAAATCATCAGTTCAGAGCAAAAATCATGAGATTAAAAAATATGAGGCTCTTGATCTTTGCCTTGTAATATTTTGCTTCTCAGTTGCTCTTGAGTCACATTTTCAAATTACCCCATGCAACAGTGAGGGCTAGAAACTTGTTTTTAAATAAAAACATACATTGTCATGTAAGCATTTGTCTCCAAGAGTCAGGGCTTTACATGAAACACTGGAGATCACAGGACTAACAATAAAATCATTAGAATTGGCAGCATTACAGATAACAAAATGTTCCGTTCCAAACGAGGCACATACTGGCACCAAAGCTAAATTTCTTGTTTTTAGATAAATGGAAAATAGTTAATTTAATAAAGGAGAACTTATTTGCTAGCAGGGTTAAAACAAGAAGCAGAAAAATGCAGTGACATACAAAAATAAACTTTGCCTGCAGCGTTTGGGGAAGCTTGTTATCTTTAATTTGAAGTTCTTTTTCTTCTGCTCCTTGAGGAGATGCTGTGAATGATTGTAATGTGGATTTGGTCACCATTTTGGTGGTGGTGACCTGTTTGATCTGTTTTCTTCCACTTAATCACTGTCTGCTTAATCACTATGCTTGTCCAACAGCATGCAGTCATCGGGTCTTTTCCTCTTGTGGTTCTTCTTGACTCCTCAGATACTACTAATCAGATGAGTTAACAGAGCTGGAAGATGGCATATTTTTAAATGAGGATAATAAATAGTTTCTCTGAACTGCTACAGTTCCTAAAGCTGTGTTCCTGCTCTCAGTCTCTTGGTTTCTGAAGAAACTTCTGAACCTCACCCAACGCCCTACAATATAAAATAAACTTTAAGTTGCCCTCTTGGGTCATTCTTCAGGGTTAGCAACCCATTAAGATGAACTGGGGAATTGACACCTTTCTTACATTTACTGTTTTGTGCTATCAGAGACAGATGAAGCAACATAGTCTTCATAGTCTTACACAGAGCTCTACCAATCCAGCATCATTTGAGTACTGAGCACTCTCTCTGTAGATTCAGACAAAGTGTCACTGGTCCACATTCAGAAGGTTTTGGTCACAATTAGACTAGAATTATTGTTAAGTAAAAATGTTTCGCTTCTGTACATTCTGATAGAATGGATGGGTGGGAGGGAAAGAAAGAATCGTCTCCTAGATCTGTCACTGTTTTCACATAATAATCATAGATCAGCAATCTTGCTGCAAGAATTGTGATTAACTCCTGGGAGTTCCTGACCATAAACCTATTTTGAAGAGCTACTTCCCTTTAGAGAGAGGAATATGCATGATAAAGTTACCCAGCTATTATAGTATGCAGCGCTGATTGTTTAATGGAACAGGCAATGTGTTAGGTCAGTTATTCCTCATAGTTTCATCAGAGAAAAAAAGAGAGGAGTGAAAAGTACTGTATCTTTCTCCCACTGTATTTAAAGGGCTGTATTTAATTATTGTCAGCTGAATGAAGTAATACAGGACTAATGCACAGGAACATTACAAGAACCCATTTTAACAGCATTTCATTTGAGAGCACTACCAGTGTTACCCAAGAGAAATGTTTATGTGAGAGGGACACTAATATTTCTCAATTTAATCTGGCCCAGTGACTTTTATTCTGGCTGATTAGAAGGCCTGGCTGAGAGCAACACTTTGAGGGATATGTGCTCATAAAAGTTACATTGAGTCAGAATTATAAATACATATTCAGCTGAAGAAGAATATATGGCCTAGCTTCTGAATTCAACAGTTAGAGTTGGTTAAGTTTTAGATGAAAGAGAGACCTTTTAAGAGAACTTTTGGGAAAAAAAATCATTTCTTAAGCTGCACAAACAAAAAGTAATAACTGACCAGGAGTTGATTGCCTGCCTCTAGAGAATGGGAGCTAGCAATTCTCACCAGGTGAAAAGTCCTCACAAGCCATCTAAATCCCTCTCCATCTAGTTGCTTGACTGTTTTAGTGGTCCTGTTCAAAATCAAATGCAGATTATAATTTATTCAGGCATCACTTCACAGAGCTTCTTACACTGAAGCGTAGACATAAGGTTGGGAAAAGGGTGTTCTATGACCATGATGCAGCCATTCCTCTCTGGGTCCTGTGCTGACAGCAAACTAGTACTGTGCCACCTGCTGCTCACTAGGGCTGTGCAAAGCTTCAGTTGCAGATTCGATTTGGTGGAGATTCGGCCTGATTCGGCAGCCAAATCTCCAAATCCGAATTGAATCAGGAGACCCTTTAATCTCTCCTAATTGAATCAAAACCTAAGATTCAATGATTTAGACACAGACACAGCTTTAAATGTTTTTTCTACATACCTCGAGGATTCCCGGCAGCTCATGAATGCTGAGATGCTGGGGCGGATGTGACTTCCGGTGGGAGCATGGCAGACCCAGAAGTGGACCGGAAGTACTTCCAGTCCACTTCTGGGTTTGCTGCCAAGCACATGGGGCAGCCTCCTGTGCTCCTGTGGGACACTTCATCTGCCCCATCATTGCAGTATTCATGATCCATGTCTGGTACCTTGAGGTATGTAGAAAAAAACATTTAAAGCTGTGCCAATGGCCAAATTGCTGATTCTCCGAATCAGCATAGAATCTTCAGATTTGGATTTGGCCAAATCAAATTGGGGACAGTGATCCAAATCAGCTATTCAAATCACTGTTCCCAATTCGGGCCAAATCTAAATCAAATATGGCCCATTTTGCACACCCCTACTGCTCACTGTCGATCCTGATTCATTTTTCACCATGGCATTCGGGTCACGATACTTCAAGGTTCTTGCCTTAACATGTTGCTCTTATTCAGTGAGTTGTGGATTGTGTTGAATTAAAAATATACCTTGATTCCTGATCTTTTTAAAATCACATGGGATTGTACCCCCTTATGATGTTTTAAGAAATCAAAGGTTTAGAGGCCATGTGATCTACTTGTCAGGGTGGGGGGGGGGGTAGGCTTTTGACACTGGTCCTGTTACTAGTTGTCATTTATCTGTTATGTGACCTGAGGCAAGTCATTTCCCTCTCTGTGCTCATTTGCTGTGCAGCTCTTTGTCCATCCTATCCAGACTTCCTGCTCTTTTAGGTAGGGTTTTTTCTGATAATGTGCTTGTGCAACCCCTAGAATACTATGGTCCTGCTGTCAACTGGAACCTTTAAGTGCTTCCATAATATAGCTAATAATCCTGATGTGTCTTATTTACTTTTTCCTTTTCATACCCTGTTGTAAGATTCCCATTATCCAGACTTTGTCACTATTAATAAACACCCTATTTAAAAATATCCGTAATATATTAAAAGAATTAGTGATGTACGCTGTATTCTAAAGAAAGGCCTCAGCTCAAGACCTTTCTTGACTTCTGGGTCAAAGAAGAACAAAATAAAGTATTAACAAAAACACGGTTGACTGCCAAAGAAAACGGAGTTCCTGTAAGGACTGAAACAATTAATCTCCTCTATACTGAACTCCCAGAGGGAGTGTGTTGTGTTTCCTCTTGTTCTTTATCAAAGTCCCCTAAATAAGTAGGAATGGGCAGTGTCTGCACAGCCTCTGCACACCTTTTCCACTTACTAATTAGGGCCTGCTTCACAGTAAGAGACTATTCAGTGCCTGGCTCTGAAAAGGGATGCCAATGAAACTAAGCACAAGCATGAAGCTCCTTGAAGTTGCCCTTCTCTTCCTAGCTGCATTCAGCACCTACGTTACAAATGGTAAGAGTGCATTGTTCTCTGTTACTCTTTTGACTCTGTTGGCAGATCTGTAGCAGACACAGTTATCATTTCAGTGGGCTTTTGATAGTGAAGGTTTCATTTGACTGTGATACTGCAGTTCAGTACTTCATTCCCATACATGTAGGCAGAAGAAATGTACATTTGGAAGAGGTACTACCTCTGTTTTCTTTTTTTGTTCTGAGTTATATGACCTCTGTAAAAAGAATATTTTTGGCAATGTACTTTTTCTCTGATAGATCTGAGAGGAATTTAAAGCACTGACTAAGGAAGCAACTGCTTATTTGGGAGGGTGTTTTGTTTCATTTTCCTCTTTTGAAAACTGTCTTTTGTACAGGAAACTTCTAACAAGCTTTGAAATGTCTGTTGGTTTTGAAAATTTAGTTTAATACACTGGGTAAATACAACAGGTCAAATGTACCCTGATATAAACCCCTTATTCACCAGAATTACATTGGTGGTGTACTGGCTGAGTGTGCTTTTCAAAAGCCAGTGTATATTTACTGCAGCTGTATGTGAACCTGCAGGATTCCTCTAGTATAATTCAATGCATGCAGACTGCTCAGGGCAGAACAAGTGACTGTGTTCAACAAGTTTTAGAAGATTAAAAACTGTTAGTTTATGTTCTAATGGTCACTGATCTTTTGTTTCTAGTGCTCTTCTGCTTGAAATATTTTTCATTCAGAATAAATTAGTTTGTGATAAGAAGATGAAAGAAACTGCAACTAAAGTCTCATCAGCTTTATTGAGAGTTAAAGTTGAAACTGAAGATTTTATTTCTCATTTTCTGGAAAACTACCTAAAGCTTTTACAGATGTCATTAGAATAGATTAAAAGATTTTCAGTAACTGGCAACTAACCAGTAAATAAAATATCTATTTTTACTGGATTAAGTAATTACAAGTCCTGAGCTAAAAATTTTACTTGAGTTATGCTGTACAAATCCAAGCAAAAAAACCCAAAAATGTATTGTGTGGAGTGAGCTGCACTATTGCTTGTGGTCGTCATGGTTAAAAAAGCAGTGAAGTAGATTAACAGTGATGTTTCTGTCATAAATTATCTAATTTGTGAACTATGCCATGTCAGTATGTATTCTGAAAATGTATGTATTCTCTTTTGGCTGGTGTCAGAAAAAGCAGCCTTTCCATCACTGTTAAACCTTCAGTAAATTACTTATCTTTGGGAAAACCTGGTGGAGTGCATTCTGTTTGTAACAGGTTATTCCAAAGCAACATGCAAAGGTGAAGGGCAGTGCACAGGAGGTTGGTCAGTTTTGTGAAGTCCCTGGCATACAGGTTTTCTCTCTTCTGAATGGAGATGATAGGACATTGCTGGAGCAGGGCAGAAGTCATCACACTGAATTAGTAAGAATCAAAATAAGAGACACTTGCTTTCAACTAGGGCTGTGCAAAATTTTGCCACCCGTTTTGTTTTGATGCTGTTTTGATGCATTTCAAGGTCAAAAAAGCAAAATCAAAACAGAACAGCTATGGTCAAAACAGCCTCGAAACAAAATGAAGCAAGTCAAAACGTTTCACCATTTTGACGTTGTTTCGACGTTTGCCCATAGGCTATAATGGGGAAGGTTGAAACCACCTATAGCTTTGTCACTTCTGGCCAGATGTGGATGAAACTTGCAGAAATGGTAGCACTTCTGAGGGCATGAAGCATGACAAGTTTCAGGAAGATAGGTGCAGGGGGTTCGAGGACCTTGCACACCAAAATCTAGAGAGTAAAATTTGTGTCATGTGTATGTGTTAAGCCACAGTGGGGTGAAAACAGCAGGCATGTTAGCCCCTGCTTAGGCCACAAAGCAGGGGCTAACATGCTTAGGCCTGCCAAGTTTCAAGAAGAACAGTGCAGGGGTTTGGGGGAAACTGCACCTCAAACTGCAGACAAGCAAAACTCATGACATGGGTGACACTGTGTGTGTTAAGGTGCAGCAGGGTAAAAGCTGCAGGGCTGGTAGCCCCTGCTGCGGTCACAAAGCCTGCCAGCTGTCAAAGAGATAGATGCAGGGGTTCTGGGTTCTGGGCCCCTGCACCTCTAGCTGCTGACAGGCAAAACTCATGACATGGTTGCTTGTACAACTGTGTCTGTCTTGGGGCACGGGGGGGAAGGAACTACTGCAGGCCTGGCTGCTAATCCCTGCTGCAGTCACGAAGCCTGCCAGCTGTTAAGGAGATTGGTGCAGGGGGGTTCTGGGGCCTTGCACCCCTAGCTGCTGACAGGCAAAACTCGTGACATGGGTGCTTGTGCAACGGCTGCCTCTCATCAGGCAGCAGGATTGAAGATCACCCATCACTTGCCACCAACACCTGGGGGTAATAATTGGCCACAGTATGAACATGAACCGGCAGGGTGATGCTGTAGCCAGCAGGGCCAACAATAACTATTGGTGGGATTTTCTAATTGACTTTCACTGGGAGTTGGATGCCTACCTTCCTCAGGTACTGTTGAAAACTCTCCCTTAAGTCTGGTGGTAACACCCTATATATTTAAAACTTGGTTTAAGCATGTTTTGTCATCCTGTTTTCCAACTGCACTATGATGCTTCAGGGTGTGCTGCTATCTCTAACCTTCAGGAGAAAGACAGCAAGAAGCAAACATGCCCAATGCTTGTTTTTGCGTCATTCATATATGCGCTGTGGACTTTCTGCCTTTCTTTATCATTCTAATAGAATTGTGCCTTTTGCCAGGATTGGGAGAGTACTGTTATTTAAACATATCTAATCTTTTTGAAGAACACATTCAGGTTCTATTAACATCTTAAGTTTTCACAGGGTGAAAATTTATTTAAAGAATGTTAGTGTAGGTAAAATATTAGTATTAAGTCCATTAAAAACCTTGAGTATATTAAGGAGCGGTGCATGCTTCTCATGACCTTTTTCCCTCTATCATTTTTATCAGAATATGAATAAGCCAAGACAGTCGTATTTGGGCACAACAGACTTAGCTAGTGAGGCAAGCCTGATTACCATGCTAAAATCTTTAGGTGCCTGTATACAAGCCAGGATGCTGCTCTGATGCGCTGTAATTATAGCATGTTGGAGGAGACTTGATTAGTTGTGTATGCTGTAGTGCGGTTATTAGCGCAAACTTTAAATAAAGCACCTCCACTGCCTTTTAGAAGCGCAGGGACACTGATACATGAGATGTTCAGCGCACTTTAATTACAGTGGCTCTTGGAGCTGCTCTAATTAAAGTGCCCTACCTCCACTTTCGGAGCACGTGTACAAATGCTCTTTGGTTTTAGTTTATCTAGAAGAAACAGTGGCAGTAAATTCAGCATCTTCTACCCTTGTGGCCAAAAGATTTTACCTATTTTGTTCCTGTTCTGAGGTGTACATTTTTTGCCTCATAATTACTAGAAATAATCAGAGCTCAGCGTTTCCATTATTGTGTGATTATGAACTTTGCTGCAAGTTCTAAGCTGGCCCCTTGTCCTGACATGGATTCTAGGCTTTTCTTTTTTAAAAAATAGAAAATTGAAGCCTGTAAGGCCATGACAATAACTTTCTAAATGTTAAACTATACAGTGATATCTGCCTGAGTCTGTGGCCAGCCTGAAATCATGTCTCATAGAAGTGAATTACCCCTATTCATTTCAATGTAGAGAGATTTCATTAAATCATTTCATTGGGTGTGTCTACACGAGATGTTTTACTGCAAAGTAGTGTAGTTTACTGCACAGTGAGCATGAACGGCTATATGTGCACCCACCTACTCCACTGTAAACTTCACTACTCATGAAGGCAGCCAATGCAAGTAGCAAATTTATCCATGAGTACTTGCAGCACAGTAACGCTCATGTAGATGCCAACCAGGAGCAGATTTTCTCATGGTCAGCCCTGCTACTAGGGGGCCAGCCTGAACTCAGCCCCAGAACCCAAAGGGCTGGGAGCCTCTCCTGGTTCAGGGCTGGGCTGCCTCTGTGGCAGCCCCAGCCAAAGGCCCTTTAAAGTCTGGAGGCATTTTGTACCCTTAGGCACAACAGCAGAGAGCCCAAGTGCGGGTGGGGGTGGGGGGAAGGAATGGGACTTTTGGCCTCTGCTGCTCCTGCACAGGCCTTGGGCTACCTGTGCCAGCCTGTCTGCACCCTGACACCGCTGCCTGGCAGCATAGTGCTTCTTGGCTGCCAGGCCCATACCATCCAGCCCTGCAGGCTGCTGTAGGCTACTGCCACTGCCAGCCCCCAGATCCAGTTGCAGCTAGCTCCTGGGTGCCAGGGCCAGCCCCCAGCAGCCTTCCTGGAGCCTGCAGGTGCTGCGGGGCATTGCCTCACTGCATGGCTCCTAGTCCTGCACCATATCCCTGCACTGGGTGCAGGCAGCTGCCCAAGGCTGGCAGCACAGGAACAGCTGTGCAAAGGCCCTGAGAGCTAGTGTTCGGGCTCTAATGGGCTCATCACTGATGCCATTTGCCACCACCTGAGGCCCTAACTGGTTGCAGGAAGAGACTGGCAAACTCATGGCACTGTGGGGTGAGGGAGAGGTGCAGCAGCAGTTTGTGCAGGGCAGGCACTTGAACACCCACATCCATGAGGACTGTCAGGCTGGATGTGGAAATGGAGGTACAACCGGTCAGCATGGCAGTGCCGCATAAAGGTCAAGGCCTTGTGGGCACAATGGGTCACCGTCACTGACCACAATTGTCAGTTGCAGAGTAACTGCAAGTCCATGCCCTTTATGCAGCTGCTAACTGAGATCCTTGTAACCTGGCATCCAGGCCATAGCCATGCTGTGTACAGCAGCATAGGAGGCCTGCCCAAGCTTCCACTCCAGCCTAGTGGTGATGTGTCACTGGGGGAGGGTCCCTTGGGGTCCTACTGAGCTCCCTGCCCCAGCCTGCACCACCAGGTTGGGGAGTCTGAACCAGTGCCTGCCCCACAGCTCTGCAGCTTCATCCCCAGTCATGAGGTGCAGCCAGCCATGTTACCACTGGCCACCAGCAGTGCCAGCACCTCCCTGGGGGGCCCCTGGCTGGAT